CCCCCCCATCAATATATTTGTTACACGTATTTTTTTATGTTAGTTGAGTTATTTCTGCTGTGTGTATGTTTTGTTTACATTTGTGTTTGTTTACGTTGTGCGAGATTTCTTGTTTACTTTACTTTTACCAAGAATGTTGAGTGTAGACTGTTGAGAACTGTTCTGCACTTTTAATGAGTTTTTTCCCCCAGATTTGCCTGTCAAATATGTGTCAACTGTCTGTCTGTCAAATACATGTTGACTGTCTGTCTGTCTGTTCAATAACGTCTATGTTAGTATCTTTTGGCAGAACAAAAATAGAAGAAATGTTGGTTAAAGACCCATCCCATCAAAGCTTCCTTCAACCCCTGAAAAAAGCTTTCTTAAACTCCCGATAAAAGCTACCTTCAGCTTTTTATTAAAACTCTCTTCAACCCCTCTTTAGGACTCCCTTCAACCCCTGAATAAAGATTTCTTTAACCCCTGATCAAAGCTCCCTACAACCCTTGATCAAAGCTCCCTTCAATTCCTGATTAAAGATTCCGTAAACACCTGATCAAAGCTCCCTTCAACACCTGATCAAACCTCCCTTCAACCCCTGAGCAAAGCTCCCTTCAACTCCTGAGCAAAGCTCCCTTCAACCTATGATCAACCCTCCCTTCAACATATGATCAACCCTCCCTTCAACATATGATTAAACCTTCCTTCAACCCCCCGAGCAAATCTCCCTTCAACCCCTGATCAAAGCTCCCTTCAATCCCTAAGCAAAGCTCCCTTCAACCCCTGATCAAAGCTCCATTCAACCCCTGATCAAACTTTCCTTCGACCCCTCCTCTAAGCTTCCTTCAACCCTGATCAAAGCTTCTTTCAACCCCTGATCAAAGCTTCTTTCAACCCCTGATCAAAGCTTCTTTCAAACACTGATCAAAGCTCCCTTCAACCCCTGATCAAAGCTCCCTTCAACCTCCCTTCAAATCCTGATCAAACCTCCCTTCTAACCCCTGATCAAAGCTCTCCTAAATCTCTGATCAAAGCTCCCTTCAACCCCCTGATAAACCCCTCTAATCACTGATTCAACTGTCCTAGGATGAAAGGTTAACTAGATTTCCCCCGTGAATTTGTCCAAATAGACTAAATTCACACGTCCAACCGCTAACAAGGGGGAAAATTCAATAAGAA